ACACACAGGCCTCCCTTAATTGGTACCCAGAAGCAAGTCAAAGTATAGACATACAAATGGGCGCCAAACCCAGGGCCGGATTCCCCACAAGGCTACCGAGGCCCGGCAGGGCGCAGAGGGGCGGCAGCGGTGTCTTTGTGGGGATGTTCCGGGCGCCGGGCGGTACGTTGCGCTTTCTACATTTAGTCCTGCTTTGCACAAGCAGGACTAAATGTAGAGCGAGGAAGCCGATGTCGTCGAGATCACATGTAAAAAGTCTGCAGCCGGTCTGTCCGTCCGTCCTCCCCTCCCCCCTGCACTTACCTCTCTCCTCGCTGGCTCCGTCCTCTGCCGCCGAGTCTCTCTCCTCTTACTGGCCGTTGATGCACTGAGCATAGCGACAGGGTTAAAAGTAACCCTGCCGCTCCGTGTACACAGTGAGAGGGGAGAGCTGTGCTGTGCTCTTCCTCTCTCACTTGTCACAGGAGTTCCAGCACAGCGCTGTGCTAGAATGAAATGGGGGGGCCATAAAAAAATGAAATGGGGGGGCGAGCATTGCGGACCCTGGCCTTGGGGCAGCAGGGAGAGTAAATCCGGCCCTGGCCAAACCACAACATGAGTCCAAAACAGCCAATGTATTTCAGGGTCATCAACCCCCCCACCACCTCCTTCATCAGGGCGTAGATGGATGGAATAAGGACTTGGCAGAACTCAAAGGGAACTATAACCCAATGGATCTATATTAGACCCGGTGCACTCATCCCTTTGCATTGGAATTTTAATAATGTAATCAGCGACAGTTAAGAAGTGTCAGATAGCAGCAGCATCCAAGAGAGCGGAGATTTTCCTCTTCTCAAATGAATTTAAACACATCTGTGATGCATTGCATTGTGTTGCTATTTGTTTTGTCTGCATTGTTTACATCCTTGATATTATAAAGGGACCTTGTCACAAACGTAAACAATTGCGAGAGAGAGAGAGAGAGAGAGAGAGAGAGAGAGAAAGAGAGAGAAAGAAAGATGGAGAGAGAGACCGAAAGAGAGAAGGGAGGAAGACAGAGAGACAGAGGGAGAGTGAGGGAGAAGGGAGACGATAAAGAGAGACAGAGAGGGTGAGAGAGCAGAGGTCAGAGGAGAGAGATGGAGAAGGCCATAGAGAGACAGAAAGGGTAGTGGGGGAGAGAGAAGATGGAGAGAAAAAGAAAGAAAGAAAGAAAGAAAGAAAGAGAGAGGGGGGGGGGAGAAAGTGAAAAAGAAAGAAAGGTGAAGAGAGAGAAAGAAAGAAAGAGAAAGAAAGAAAGGAAGGAAGAAAGTAGTAGGGTGGTTTAGGGATTTTCATGCTCCATAGTGCTTGTTTTTCTCTGCTCTCTGTGTTTCTCTGCTCTCTGTGGGGCAGAGGGCTTCTCTTATCAGTAGACAGAAGGTACTCTTATCATTGTTGGTGACAATGCACTTAACCCCTTGCATGCTGCAGCGTTAATTCCGTCGACTAATAATTTTCTTCATAGTTTAGTCCAACAACACTTTTTCAGTGACATAACAAAATAAAAACGAAGTTATGACGGCTAAAACTATAAGGGAAATATAATGACATTTTGGTAGACTAACTTAAACTAGACTAAAATGTTCGGGAGAGACGATTTGGGAAGAGATCCAATCAGAACTAATCTTTGGACTTCCAGTTCCAGTTCCATCCTGAATGGAAGGCTATTATAGGTAATATGTGCCATGGCATTGCAGCCAATATCGCTTTTCATTTTAATATTTTAGAGTTGCACTTCTGCTTGAAACAATGAAGAATGTCAGATGCTAGTTGTTATAATCAATGCAGATCTAATGAGCGGTCCTTGGCTGAAAATACTCAATATTATCGTTTCTTCATAAGACTCGGTTTCATCTAATTTTAAGATAAAGACATGTTCTATATCTCAACAGGTAAATCTGGCGGATAACCAAAGGGCCCTGGTGCAAGATTTTATCTTGGGCCCCCCTCCGAAGAGGGGGGGGGCACGGGAGCGGATCCCACTGGCCCCCGCTCCACCCCCCCCCCCAGTGGTCTCTAATGTTGCAGTAACTGGACTTACCTGAGACCCTGCAGAGCACACCATAGATCCTGCATAGCCCACCTGAGACTCTCTATGGTGGGCTCTGCAGGGCTGGTCTGGTCGTCGGGATGCCACCCCGGTACAGTTGATACCCATGTAAGAGGCCCCCCAGACCCCTCACATGGGTACCGGCCATACCCCCCTGATGGCGGTGTTCTATCAAAGGTTGTGACTACGTTAGAATGTGTGACCGGTGACGTGGTCACGCGTTTTAACGTAATCCCGCCCAGTTTTTCGGCGGTGGAATGTGTGACTGCCAATAGGTGAAGCATTGTCACTTCTATCGGACTTTGTGAGTGCGGTGTAATGTGAGATCGCAGTCGGAGAGAAGTAACATTTTAGGACCGATCAGCTGTTTCAGGGCAGATCGGTTCTCCTGCACATGCGATGCCGATCTGCCCTGGAGAAACGGAGAAAGCGTTGGAATGCTTCGCCTATTCCACCGCCGAAAAACTGGGCGAGATTACGTTAAAATGTGTGACCACGTCACTGGTCACACATTCTAACGTAGTCTCAAACTTTGATAGAACAGAGGCCTGTCTGTGATCATTTAATCAGAGAAATAGATTATAATAGGGAACATTAAAGTGTAATATTCCCCATTATAATCCACTCGTCTAATTACATGAAAAAGCATGAAATAGCAGTACACAACTACTATCCCCCCTCCAGCCGACCAAAGCCCCCCCGGCACTCGGACTAACCCAGCCAGAGGACCGCCCGCAGCCAGGGAGTTTTGAAGTGTGCACTGCTGGGGGCGGGGCTTGTGACACACACACACACCTCCTGTGACTCACCTCCCCCTCCCGCCGCCTGTTACTATGGACGCAGCCGGGAGGGGAGGTGAGTCACGGGACCCGCCCCCCTCACTGAGAAGCCAGTCGGCAGTGCGGGGGCCCCGGTGTTTGCGCCTGCACTGCCCCATATTGCAGGACTGGACCCCACTGAGGCTGTGGGGGAGCCCAGGACCGGACCCCACTAGGCCCCCCCACAGCCTAAGGCCCGGCGGTAGTTCCGCCACTAGTCTGCACTGCATGCTCAAAGCATAACACCACAGGTAACAACAGGGTAAAAGATGTTTGCTCCGGGAGTATATAATGAGATGGGAAATTCTAGAGAAATTCTTAAATTACTCTTTAACTAAACCCACCAGATTTTAGCAGATCTTCTGTAGATTTAGTCAGCTGATTTCAGCTGTACACCGACTGAAATCAGCCGCACATCAGCTTGCTTCGGCATTTTCTGCAAGCACAGAGAATCCCTGTTCATCCTGCTGGAAATGTTGTATCCGTGTTCCTTCCTGAGAGCTGGAAAAAAAAAGCACGATTATCTTTATAGTCTCATCAATGCCACATGGAATGGAGATGAACAAAGGTAGACATGTTTAAAGTCCAGCCTGTGTGACAACTACAGCTCTTTTGTCTGTGTGTAGGTTTGCCACCTGAGCCAGAACTACAGGAAGAGGCACTCAGCTGCAAAGGGAAGTTCTCCCCAGCATGAGAAGACATGAGGATTTAAAAGGAAGAGCAGCAAAGAGAAGGGAAACAACCATGGATTACAGTAAGGCGCACATTACAGTATTGGTTTATGTTAAAATATCTGAGGGTTTAATGTCACTTTAAGAAAGTGGCCGGTGAGTGTATCTATATATAGGGAGGGAGATTTTTGAACCCCTTGTCAGGTTTTCTTTCTTGCCCTCTATGATGTGTTGGGAAGATTCATCTTTTACTTCCTGTCACAGAAATACAATTTCCTTTCCTTCACAACTGCAAAGGATTGGATTTCCCATTACCGGGTCACAGACAGCAATAAAAACAGGGGTTTTAGCCAGGGCCGGATTTACTCTCTCTGCTGCCCCAAGGCCAGGTTCTTCAATGCGCCCCCCTACCCGCCAAACCCCCCCGCCTCCATGGAGAATGGCAGACTTGCAGGCGGCATACAAGTGATCTCAGCGGCATCGCCAGGATCACTAGCACAAAACAAGCGGCAGCTTCCCCGCTGTACATTTAGCTCTGCTTGCCCATAGCAGGGCTAAATGTAGAAAACAACTACTCACCCGATGCCCAGAACTGCATGTCCCCGGCATCGGGAGATAGGAATTCCACACCCCTGCTGCCCCTCTACTCCCTGCTGCCCCTCTACTCTCTGCTGCCCCACGGCCGGGCCTTGGTTTGCCTTGTGGGAAATCCGGTCCTGGTTCTAACCCTCCCCTACTCGAAAACTAAAAAAAAAAGTTCACCTTAGATACATGCCCCCGGATATATCTCAGACCTTGTCTCAAAATATCACCCTAACCGTCCACTCCGCTCTTCCCTAGACCTCCTGCTTTCCAGCTCCCTTGTCAACTCCTCCCATACTCGCCTCCAGGACTTCTCTAGAGTCTCTCCCATCCTCTGGAACTCTTTACCCCAACCTGTCCATCTATCTCCCACCGTGACTGTCTTTAGGCGTTCCCTGAAGACTCTTCTCTTCAGTGAAGCCTATCCCACCTCAACCTAACCACTGAACCATCACATTCTCAAACAATTCATCCCCACACAGCTACCTCCTCATGTATCATTTCCCCCTCCTCTTTCAGATTGTAAGCCCTCACGGGCAGGGCCCTCCTTACCATCTTGTTCTAAATTGTATTGTGATTGTAATGTCTTCCTTACATTGTAAAGCGTTGCGCAAACTGTTGGCGCTATATAAATCCTGTATAATAATAATACATGATTGTAAATGCTTTCTAATGCAAAAAAAGATAACAGTGGCACATCGTGCAATTTTGTTGAATTCACTCCAGACGTCCCAAGACACAAACAACATGCACACTCCATGCAGACAACTGTAACGAGGACAGAACTATTGTGTTTGATGAATGTCATATTTCTAACTGTTCGGCACGGATCATCGGTCATGTTTTGTGTTTTTACAGCTGGTTTTCAAGAAGCGTTACGGCAGTTGGTTTAAATCGACCATCGGCAAATTCAAAATGGTGAACATAGCCGACCCGGCCCTCTTGGAAAAGCTGCTGCGACAGGAGGGCAAATATCCGATGAGGAACGAGATCGACCTGTGGAAGATCCACCGAGACATGCGCAGTCTGTCCTACGGGCCGTTCACTGAGTGAGTTCATAGGGTATGAGGGAACACAGGGTCAGATTCAGGCAGGGGCGGACTGGGCCCGGGGGGCAGGGTGGCAATTGCCCCCCGGGCCTCTCCGATGCCGTCGCGTACGGCCCCCGTGACCCCCACTGTCGCCGGCATCCGATACGGCATCTGTGATCGGCGGCCGCTGGGTCCTCGGCTTCTCGGGCTGCCCTCTACACTGCCTGATTAGAGGGCCGCTTCTGCTTGATCTAGCTGGATAAGGCAGGAGAGGCCCTCTAATCAGGCAGTGTAGAGGGCAGCCCGAGAAGCCGAGGACCCAGCGGCCGCC